CAGGCATCTCATCGCTAACATAAGCAAAACAGGATTCTTTATCTTCCACCCCTAACCCTGCTCCTCCCCCAGCCTTCTCAAGTCTGGAAATGGCAAAACGTTCACAAAACCATATAAGTCAACGTCCTGGGAGTCGTCCTTACCTCCTCTTTCCCTCACGCGGGGCACGTGATCCATCAGCAACTCCTACGGGCTCCACCTTCACAATGAGTCTCTGATCTAGCTTCAACTGCTGCCACCAGCATCCCTCTCTCAAGCTGCACGATACCCTCCAAGCTGGCATCTGTAGGTCCACTTTTGTCCCCTTTGTTCCAGCTGCTCAGCAGCGGCTGATCACTTTTAAAATCATAAATCAGATCAGGCCAATCCCCTGCTCAAAACCCTCCATACTGACTTTTCAACTAGCCCGTTTCCTAGCCACTGTCAACCTTCCCTTCCTCTACCCCTGCTTCTTGGAGAAAGTAATGGGCAAGGCTAGAAATCTACATTTCCCAGATTCCCTTGCAGTTAGGGAGGCCATGTGATTCAGTTCTAACCAATGAGACTTGATAGGGATTCTAAGAAAGCCACTGTTTTCCTGAGAAAAAGGGAGAGTGTAATGCCATACATCTTTTGACCCTGTTTTCCTTTGTTTCTGCCTGGAAAGCGAGTACCCAAAGATAGAGCAGCCATGTCAAAGATGTCAGGACAGGAAGGGAAAAGGGATCTTGCTCCTTGAACCGCGGCATCAGCCTTTGAATGGCCATCCCTAGACTTCTTGTTACATGAGAAAAAATACATAAATCCATGACTTGATCAGATTGCTGTGATAGAGTTTCTATTACATGTAGCCAGATACAGTTTCTGGCACAAGCTTCTCATCACTTGTTTTTTTTTTTTTTGTTGTTGTTGTTGTTGTTGTTGTTTTTTCAACGTTTATTTATTTTTGGGACAGAGAGAGACAGAGCATGAACGGGGGAGGGGCAGAGAGAGAGGGAGACACAGAATCGGAAACAGGCTCCAGGCTCCGAGCCATCAGCCCAGAGCCTGACGCGGGGCTCGAACTCCCGGACCGCGAGATCGTGACCTGGCTGAAGTCGGACGCTTAACCGACTGCGCCACCCAGGCGCCCCACATCACTTGTTTTTAAAAGAAATTCCCAAGGCCTTACATGATCTCTCCAACGCATACCCTACCATTCTCTATTATTCTTCCTGCACCAGCCTCATAGACCCTCTGGGCTGTTCTTGGTACATGCCAAGTTCATTTCTGCCTCAGCGTCTTTGCCTTTGCTGTTGTGCTGGCATGCTCTTCCCTGAGACCTTTCGCATGGTTGGCTTGAGTGCCCCCCCCCCCTTCACTCAGCTTTGTGCTTTAATGTCAGCTCTGGACCAAGATCTTGCCTCGACTACTCCATCCAAAATTGGTTCCTTCACAGTCTTTAATTCTTTAGTGATTTTTTTTTAAACATTTTTTTTCCACGTTTTTATTTATTTTTGGGACAGAGAGAGACAGAGCACGAACGGGGGAGGGGCAGAGAGAGAGGGAGACACAGAATCGGAAACAGGCTCCAGGCTCCGAGCCATCAGCCCAGAGCCTGACGCGGGGCTCGAACTCCCGGACCGCGAGATCGTGACCTGGCTGAAGTCGGACGCTTAACCGACTGCGCCACCCAGGCGCCCCATTTAGTGATTTATTTTTATTCAGTTATCACTAACTAAAATTGTCTCTGCCTGAGAGTATGTAATTTATTTTCTCGCTTCTTTAATGTCCGTCTATTCCACTGGAATGAAAGCTTCAAGGGGTACAGGCACATCCCCAGTACCTGGAAGAGTGCCTGGTATGAAGTAGGCATTCAAAAGTTATTTGTTTAATCAACGAAACAATCAATTCACGGCATCCTGCAACTGAGATGCAGTCAACCTTACACCACTCAGCAGTTCTTTGTAATGAAAACACTGTGTACTATCCTACTATAAGTTAAAGAGGCGGTGTTGGGTTTATTTTTGGTATTTTTGTCATGCCAGCCCTTTTTCGGGCTACCAAATTTGGAATCGGCACTCTGGACACATAGACACTTAATTTCATGGCCTCACCTGAAATTCTGGACCGGCTCCGCAATTTAAGGCTCATCTAATGACTGAACTTTGCAGCAGGGCGTCCAGACATCTGCACTCACACTGAACAACGCCCGCCATGGTCCTGCTTTCTCCCAGATCACCCAAAGGACGGTGAGTTGGTGAATCCGTTCAGAGACCAGAGACTCGTTTTTTCTCGGACCTTTTCTAGATTGGGCCAGGGCCGTGATCACAATGTGGGCAGTATCATGCCAGAGTGATAAAGGCGTCGGAAGGCCTGGTCCCAACCCCAGCTCACCAGCTACATGGCCAGCCTGAGTTCGTGGGGTCCCAGGGAGGAAAACACATCCGAACGTGCAGTCAGTTCCCTCCCTATAAAGAGAGAGGCGGGACGT